GGGCAGGGGACTGGACTCGATGACCTCTCGAGGTCCCTTCCAGTCCTATAATCTATGATTCTATGAAATTTTCACAAGGCCCAAAAAGAAGAGTTGAGCATTACAAAAGTCTGGATAATGTCACCATTTTTAGCTTTCATTTTGAATCCTTGATGATATCTAAATGACTTGGAATCATATCCATCACCAGACCTTGTGCCAGGGAGAAGTCCAGGTTGGCAGAAACATGTACCATAGGACTGATGGACCAGTTAGGTGAGTCAGAATGCACTGATGGTACCATGGTCAGCAATAAACTCAGCAAAGGACTGGTCTCTTCCAATGCATTCCCTGGTCACAGACACAAGACAGGGACAAGAGCACTGTGCATACAAGACTGGTGGGATGTCGGAAGATAAGAAGCACAGGCTTCTCTCATCCACAGAATTGTGTAATTGTGCTATGCTTGAGAAACTAGCAAAATTAAGTGATACTATTCTTCAATCCAAAGAACAAAGTCTTATCAGTAGAGGGATGCATAGAAAACAATGATGATTTCTACTATTTCTGTTGAGAGTTCATATCACCACCGTGACTATTTAATTCTGCCATGTCAGACCTGAAACTTCTTTAGACTAAAGGAAAAACTTACATTTTTAGGAAAGGACATATTCATTCTAGGGCTTTTTATTAAAAAAGTGGCCTGGAGAAAAGGACTATGGCAATGCTCAATGGTAACAGTGAGCCAGATTCTACAGTTCAGTTTAGCCAGTTTGCTCCATGCTCCTGGCATAATCTGGCTCTAAGGGGAGTTTACCAGCCCAGGGGAGATCACCCAGGGAGTGTAAAGAGGTTCCTCTGGTGATATAGAGCTGGAGTAGTGACTCTTACACCACTCTTCCTTGCTGCTAAATACTTGTCTCCCAGCAGTATATTATTTAAGTTTATAAGTTTCAGTTATAGTGTGGCCAGAGGAAAAGTGGCATTTTGAGATGTTTCTATACTGCCCCAATCCTGCACTGAATTTTCAGCCCCCTGGAGCCACTACAGCTCCATGTAAATTGGAGCAACTCATAGGCTGTTCTAGCACAGTTTCGAGAGTCCAGCCTGGCACAGCGCAGCATCAAGGGAGTGCCATAGGGAGCTGCAAGACACCCATTCACCCTTCCCAATTTGCACAATGCATCAAGCTGGACCCCTGGATATGGCCCAACATGTCTCTTACCAAATTAAAGAGATTAGGGTCACTGGCTCTTCATCCTCCATAAAAATAACTAACTTTTTTCCCTTAACCTCTTGTACAAAACGCTCTGGAATGAGCTCTTGGGTTATCTGGATGGGACAAATTCCAAAACAAGAAGAGGCTCCCCCTTCCTTACATACATTATGATTACAACCACCCGGGGGTTAGTCAGTGCAAAGGGGAAAGCAGCTCTGAAATGGTTCCTTATGGGAAAAGAATCAAGTAACAATAAAAGAAGGGCCAGGAATCCCCTAGATGAGATCAGAAATGTGTAGGAGAGAACGCCTTCAAAACTACAAGCCACATGATCTGAGATCACATTAGCCTGCTAGCAGACCAGGACTCTGTGCCATCCATTTGGGGGACATCAAGGGGGCCTGAAGAGCAGATGCAGATTGGGAGACAGGAGTGCTGAATAGTCACTTACTTCCTGTGGGGCCCAACAACTGGCCAATTCCCCCTCGGAACTGTGAATATTCAACGTGTCCCACAGAGGCAAACTCCAGCCTCAGCACGTGGGGCTCTCAGCAGCCCTTCAAACCACCACCAGAGAGACACGTTCAGCATGTTACCAAGAGGGAAATGACACCCCGTACGCGCCGGCTAAAGCCTCTCAGATCAAAAGCACCAGGTCACTCTCCGATCCAAGTGACCTGCCTCTCTCCTTTCCGATTCCCGCAGCTGGCATGGGGGGATCCCTGCAGGCCGGCTGCTCCAGCGGCGGCTGGGGAGCGGGACAGGGCTGGAGCAAGCAGAGCGTTTACCTTGTCAGTGTCACCGGGAGCTCACGTCCAGTCCCCGCACCGCGAGGATCCCTCTGTGCTGCTGATGCAAAGCCTGATACCCGAGCAGCCTCAGTCCATGGAGAGCAGCGGGGAGCCCCTAAGGAATGGCCAGTGCCCAGCCAGGCAGCGCCTGCTGGAAACCCTGCGGGATCCGAGGCGGGTTCCCAGGCTGCGGGGAAAGCGCCTCTCTCGCGGGCGCCCTTCCTCGCTCCCCTTTCCCTCTTGCCTGAATGGGCAGAGAAACACACAGTCAACAGGCAGCGGCGGACGAGCTGCTGCCCCTGCCGCCACCCGGCGGCTCTTCTGGAGAACAGCATCTCCCGCTCGGCTCACAGCGCTTCCCTCCGCACCTCGGCACAGGCTGAAACCACTTAGCTACCACTAACAACTGTTGGACATTTAACAAACTGCAAGTCAGAGCCAGGCAGCGCCTCGTTCTCTCTCCCCCCTCGTTCATCCAGTGGACTTGACCCTCACCTAGCACGGCTAGTGCTGTCCTCCTGGGCCGGGGTGATTTTAAAAACACTGCTAGATTTCTAGCTCTGCTAGCCAGGTGCCTGGAAGGGTGAATCCCAGGCTCCTAGTAGCTTTGCTATGTGCAGAAGTGGGAGCAAAGAGGGAAAACGACAATAATCCGAGTAGTAAGGGACTTGCTGAGAATCCTGAGAACGGCATGCTTGGGCCAGCCCACCACAGGGGAAATACTGGGCTAGATGGACCAGAGGTCTGACCCTGTATGGCAATTCTGTTCCCTCCTGGCTTAGCCTCTGCTTCAAGGGGAATGCTCAGCCAGAATTACAATAAAAGATTCCATTCACACACACAGGCCTACTTAGAAATTCTTTACTTCACCCCCCTGAGCGAGCACTGTAAAGTGGCAGTGTAGACAGTGCTATGGCACTGGTAGCTAGGCTCCCAGTGCTTTAATGTCAGCTGTGTAGACATACCCTTGGTAACTAGCACTAACTCTACTTTAAAGTGAAAAGGATTGGTAACACCACACCCAACACCTGCCAACCAACCCGGAGAGATTACAGAAAAGAGTAATCAGGCCAGAGTCCTCTGGCACTTCAAAAGGCAAGAGTAGGCAGAGTAACTCACACGTATGCTCTTACACAATTAATTTATTACAAGGAGAATATTTGCTGTGTGCCAAGACAGTAATGCCCTCAGCAGCTCTCTTTCATGGGAGGGAGGGCTGGAATACTTGTCTCCCAGCAATATAGTCATCATTTAAGTGTATACATGGCAATTATGTTAGCTGCTACAGTCTTACAAGGTGCCAAAGTGTTTTGTGTGTGTGGCTGTGATCTCATTTCAAGACCATTCTCTTCGTGGGAGACTTTGGGGAAAAAAGTCCCTATTAGAATTGAGTGAATGATTTCCAACAAATAATGTATTCAACTATTTTAGCTCCTTTTTCTGATCATGGAATAGCCATAGATTTCTTTGATTTATTCATTATTAGAACCTTTTAAGTTTTTCTTATTTATAGATTGGTCATTAAAGGTCACTGCAAGTTTGCACTAATGAATATTTGTAATAAGAGTTGTGTTACCTGGTTTTAGAATTGACCTGGTAAACCACAGCCTATGGTTTGTTTCCTGGATGGATGAGTGGGGAAGTACTTCTAACATGAATACTCACTAAAGAAAGGTTAACTTTTTATTTCTACACAGAGAACTCTGAAATTTGATGCTGTCAACATTCTGCTAGTAAAGTGTGATGCTCTGACGTCTGTGGAAAGCGGAACACAAAATGAGTACAAACACAGGGAGTTCTGTTTGAACTTCAAGTCCATGTACAATAGATTTTAAGTATTTGCCTGCCTCTCCACACCATATTAAATATACTGGAACCTAAATTATAACCTAGCTACAGTCCTGTACTACTACTAACAATCTTTCCTTATGATGAAGTGTTCCATAATGAGATCTCAGTGTCATAACAAGATATCCACAGGGAAAGACTCGTTGCAACTTAGGAAGTTAATCACTATTATTCTGGTGCTGGGTGGAGCCATTTTGTTACTTGCACTTAGACCAAAGTAAAACAGATTACTTTTCTTTACAAAAATGTTGGGGTGAGGGATGTAGCATTTGTATTATAGTAGCACTGTCCCAGCAGGGCCGATAAGTTGCCCACTGTGCTGTGTATACACACCACACCAAGAAAGGACTGTCCCAGCCCCCAAAGCAGTGCAAAAATGACATAAGCAGATACAAACAGAAAAGGAGCACAAAGTAACAAGAGAGATTTATGATAGGGATAATAAGCAGCTATCACAGCACAGTCCAGGCTACTTAAGCACTCTTGAGTGTTTTGTGGCACCATAGTGCAAGAGGTGAGTTTTAAGGAGAAATTTGAAGAACAATGCAGAAACCTTGAAGATTTTTTTGATTCCCTGTTGCATTGCTTCCTACTTCCCATAGGCAACTTTAGGGGGACTATGATGAATGCTTAGTGCTCAGAAGCACAGAGCTAGGCTGTACAGTCAGGGGATTCATACAGCTTCCTTTCCCTCCTGGAGACCTTTAAATCTTCATAGGGGACATGTAAAGCATGGTTGGTGGTATCTAGAGTGGACACTTTCAGTATGCACCTTACTAAGCCAGCCCACAGTTCAAGCTGATTAGAAGTTTGAGCTCAGGGAAAGGGCTAGGAGGGGAATAGAAAGGAAGATTGAGGCCAGCCCAATAGTACATTGGTAAAGCTGTGCCAGATAGCTAGCAGAATGCTTGCTTGGTTCTTGACCCTGCCCACAGCAGCATTCAAGTGACTAAACGCAGTATCTTGAATCAGATATAGTGTGAGCAAACATTCTAAAAGCTTCCCCACATAGACAGACCAGTGTACAGAGCCTCTTTTCTGATCTGCATTACCCCTAGTTTATCCACTCTGGCTCTGTCCTGGGTAAAGAATGCCAATTACCTCATTTTATGCCATTCAAAGGGCTTCAGTGAACCCTATTCTCTACTCAGCACCCAGGTTCTGCTCTTTGTCAAGAACCATGCCGGTTTCCTGGGTCCTTACACACAGTCAGAATGGATTGTTAGTCTTGTCCTAAAGAGCGGAGTACTTCACTGCAGAGCATTTGCCATCCTGGCACAGTCTGATTGCAGCAGTCTCTCACACCTGAGGTTGAGAACAAATGATTTAGTCTATAATTGAATGCTGATGTGAAGCTAGGCCACCTAATCTTGTCAGAACTCAAGCTGAAGGACAATATTGTTTGAGTTGCCCAGGACAAAGAAGTCCAACTAACAACAGTTTATGTGCTGCTGAGAGGCATGTGGGATAAACAAAATGCCTATTGAAACAGATGTTAATAGCATTCAGAAGAAGGCTCAGTGTTTTGAAGTTCACCATTCACAATTACAGTCACAAATAACAGACTCACAATATTGGTGATCTGAATATCAGAAAAAGCAGAGGACAGAGCATATACCCAATCACTCACCCATCTCACCATTTTACTTTTCTTCTTGTCTCTTTTCCTCCCCTCCCCGATTCTACAGTCAGGGCCGGCTCTAGGTTTTTTGCCTCCCCAAGCAAAAAAAATTTTCGCTGCCCCCACCCAGCCCTGGGCTCTCACCCCCCCCCCCAGTGCCCTCCCCCACCTCGGACCCCCTTCCATCCCAGGCCTGGTCTCTCTCTCCCCCCTACCCACACCCCCTGCCGCCCCAGCCCTGAGCTCTCTCCTCCCCCCCACCCACACCCCCTGCCGCCCCAGC